GTGAGGAAAGATAGGATATTAATTGAAATAAGCCACCTTGTTTATAAAGTGGGAACTTGATTGTAGAAGCATTCTCATATCTTTTATGACTTTTAAGTTTATTTGTGTCTCCATGGACAAAAGGCCAGTTCCTTTTGATGAAATTTGAGCTCTGGAGGCTAATGATGGGATAGTTTTAATTCTTCTGCTTTCTGATCCTCAAATTCTTTGAGTTGGTTCATAGTTCTTTCTTGGTTAGTTCTGTGAAGGCGTAATCTCTAGTGGGGAGGGTTAGTTTTCACATAATTTACTGTATGTCCTCACTTTGTAACTTACTGTACTCTGAGCCCATCACATGGCTGGGGGAATGGTATGTTTACATTTGTTGGTTCCTGGGACTGAATTTCAGTGTGACTCAGAAATGCTTTGTCTGCGGACATTGAGTCATGGATAGGGTTTTTTATGTCTGGCATGATGTTAAATTCCATTCTTGACTGGTGGCTCAGTGTTTTTGGAGAGATAGAGATTCAGCACCAAACAGAAATTTTAAATGAGCTAAAGGTTTGGGATGCAAGGCTTAGGCATTTGCTTCCTGCTATTTGCAAGGTTAATGTGTGTATAGAGATGATGTCATTATTTTAAATCTCATTGGCTGTATTCTCTCATTCCACAGAAGCACCACCAAACTGGTGGGTTTTCAGGATGCTGAGCTTTCCTTCTCCTCAGAACTCTGAATTCATAGAACAGTTTGGGTTAAAAGGGACATTTAAAAGCCATCTAGTCCGAATCCCTTGCAATGAACAGGGATGTCTTCAATCAGATCAGGTTACTCAGAGCTCCATCCAGCCTGGCCTTGAATGTTCCCAGGAACGGCCACCTCCTACCTCTCTGAGCAAACTTTCCAGTGTTTCACCACCCCCATCATTAAAAAAATTTCTTCCTTTTATCCAGTCTAAATCTATCCTCTTTTGATTTAAAACCATTTCTCTGTGTCCTGTCCCAACAAGACCTGAGGAAAAACGGAAAGGTTTGTTCCAGGTGCATATCAGATGCAGTACAACCCCAAGTGGAATCCAGCCAGGGAATGGTCCTTTTGGAAGTGTTAAACAATGAACATGGAAGAGTTATTTGTTTCATGAGATCAGTTCAAGTCTGAAATAAAACCTGTGAACTGCATATGGTGTAGAGGTGTCAGCAGTGACTGCCTCAATTATCTACTTTGTCACACCACCACTTGCTAGCATAGATGTAACTGATGATTAAAGCCTTCTTGTTCTTAGAAGCTTTTCTTTTCTTGGTTAAATCATGATCTTGTCCTGGTACTTCTAAAAAACAATAAGCTTCTAGTAGCTGCCATATTTTCTTAACTAATAGCCAAGGGCAACATACTTTAGAAAGTTCAGGTGATTTGAGACTGCTCACGTGTATCTGAAATGCTTCCAGCTAGGATCATGCAAGCCATAATATGTGAGTTAGCTTTAGCCACTGTCTGTTAAATCTATTAAACTTTTAGGTGCTCAAATCAACTTTGTCAAGATTATTCACACACTCTTCTTTAATCTTGTGTTCTTGTCATTCTCTTTGGTCTCACTTGATTGATCTCTTTGAGGATTCTTCTTGAAGTTCTTAAATAGTTCATTATTCATAGGGTCAGACAGGCTTCTTCAAACATAGGAGATCCCACTTCCAGAACTGGGAATGCGTGCAAGCATTTTTAAGTCCTGCCATGGTGGTCTTTTTGTGCTAGAAATTAAACACCATTTTACAAGAAACTGCAATAGATGCTTTACTCTGTTTTAATTGTGAAAGATGACAATGGTATGATTTCTACATTTGAGTTATAATTAAGAAGATGTTACATGTCTGGACTAGGTAGTATAAAGGACAGAACTGGAGCTTATAAATTTGTGATAAGGCTCACACTGTGCTGGGGCTTAGGCAGGAGGATGTGTATCTAAAGTAGAACACTCATATGGCTTTCAAAGAAGAGGGAACTGGCTGCCCTACTTATGACCCTTCCCTGTTGGCTGGGTGAGAAGGAAAAGTAACTTATAAAGTCTACCTTTCTTACTTCAAAGGAGAAAGGAACTGGGAAAAGGACAGAAGAAGGAAAAAGAAAAACAGGGATTAAAGGAAGCACCCAAATATATTCAAAGTGCTGATCCTTGCCTTCAGGATCTTGTTTTACTGCCTTGGTTAGCTGAATCATGAGGTTGTTTTTATATATTCCCCCAAGATATTCAAGCTCTTAAAAATTCTTGGAAAAAATCCAGTTATTCTCCAGAAATATTTTCCACTCTGCCTCTGGGATTTCAGCATAGGATTTGCTGTCATAATTTTAGGGTCTGATTAATTCCAAATTTTCACGTCTCTTTTGTGGGTCATTTTGAGAATTTGCAGAGAGAGAGAGAGAGAGAGAGAGAGAGAGAGGCAGAAAGAGAGAGTAATGTAGGGTAGCAGCAGGAGACAGAATTTTCTCCACTTTGATTGGAGAAGAGATGGAGAGGGAAATTTTCATAAGAAATCATTTCTCTAATGACTTCCTGTATTGACTTCTGTACTGCTCAGTACCTCCACAAGTCTTCACTTCAGAATGAGTGTGCAGTGCTTTAATTGCCTTGTTAAAGAAGAGAGGAATCTCTCCATAGCAGAGAACCATAAAGTCTTGCAAGCATACTGTATTGAAGGTATTGGATACCTCAGTACTGTAATTATTGGCCTTTCCTGCTTGAAGATTTATTAATGCTTTCTTCTTGGACAACTCAATCACTCTGCACTTAACACTTCATATAAAGTTCTGACATGAATGGTCTGAACCTGCAGTCAGATATCTGCCCTGGACAGCCACCAGTTTCATTCTCAAGAGCCTTAGCTGTAACTCTACCTGTCCTATCACTGCTCAAAGGAAGACCACATGGGTTTTTGCCCCTCTTGCTCTTGCTTCACTTAAAACTCATTCCTTATAATTGTATTCAAATTCTTGACTGTCTGACAGAGGTACCTGATACTTTCAGAACTGTCTTTCTCTCTACTGTATTTCCCAAAATAGCTGAGAAAAGGAAACACAGAATTATTAATTAAAATAAAAATAAAGCCAAAGTAGCTGTCTGTGTGACTCTAATCTATTGAATTTTATAAATGGTGACAGAAACATATAATAAATCTTAACTGAATGTTTGCACCTGTGATACTGTGTTGAATGCTGCTTTGGTGGGGGTTTTTTGTGTTTTGTTTTGGGGTTTTTTATGTTTTGTTTTGTTTTTCTATTTCTGTGTAACTGTTTTGGATTCTTTCTGTCCCAGTTACTGGTTTTTGGAGGAACAATACCCTGTATATGAAGCACACAAACAAACATGGTGAACTGGGATTGAAAGGGGTGTGATAGCTCAAGGAATCCATGTGCCCAAGCAAAATTAATTGTTCTTTGTTATGTGAAAATGTGTCTCTGCATGTGAAACCTAAGTAAAAATGAGAAAGTGAAGAAAGGGTGTCTGAGATTTTACATTATGATGTAGGCTCATTCTCTGAGGACATTAAAAAATGTCTCAACTTGAGGTAAAACATTCATATATCGTCATTGTTTCTTCTGTTTCTAGCTACCTGGTGAAATACCCTAGAGTTTACTTTGATGTGCGCAGAAAAAAATTTAAGAAGCTATACCATACATTTAATCATCGCTGTCCTTAATAGACAGGGATGGTGTGTTTATTTTGCAGGCAGAGAAGTTATACAGATCTCTCTCCACACACTGTTCCCATGTCCACACCTACACGAAATCTGCTGTCTTGCTTTGACTGGGAAATGTCAATTATCCAGTGGTTTAGGGCTGGCAGCTCATTTGAGTTGTCGGTAAATTATAGTCCTCTAGGACGATACCAGAAGAAAGCCTTGCCAAACCCCATCACAAACCACATACCCCATCACACTGAGAATGCAGAAATTAGGGGATAGGTGAGGGGTCACTGTGGAAGTTAACCAACATCCATCCCATTTCTACACTAAAATAACCCAAGAAATTTCTCAGTCTATCTGGTATTGTTGAGTTACCTGATTTTTTCCCACTTGGCACAGTGTCAGATTGTTATAGATACCTTTCAGGTCCTGTGTAATATTTGATATTGCTATCTGGATGTCCTGGACACCTTAGGATGTCTTAAATATCCTAGGCAGCATATGCCATGTGTGGAAAACTGAGGTCCTCAGAGTTCAGATTACTGGAAAGATAAGAAATAATTTGTTTAATACATTATACAATTATCCTTATAATAAAAAATATCCTTATAATACAAAAAAATACATTATATAATATATATCCTACATTATAAGATGTATGATATATATTAGTAAATAAGCTCTATAGACAGTTGAAGTCTTCTGGAAGTCAGTATGTTTTGTAGACAGCTGCAGATGGAAGCATGCAGACACATCAGGTGCCACCTGAGGTGTCCTAGAATCTGAAATTTTCCCATGGGGCTGAATGTTCAGACCTACAGAAAACACTCCCTCTCCACCCACCACAGACACATGCTTTGTGGGATGCCCTTGGGCATCTAAAATGGCACCCTGTTTATGTGGATGGATTTCAGCTTAACTTCAGGAGAGCTCTCAGGTGCCTGAACTGGGAATTGCCCAGAGGATCTCAACTGTGGTGCGTAGTTCAAAACATGACACAGTGGGAGTGTTACATCATGCCCCTGAGATGCCCTCCACCTCTGCACCCTCAAGGAAGTGCTCTGTCTTCCTGGATTTCTGAGCAACTGTTCTGATAAGGACACAGGGAGCAGCTTGTCTCTGAGATCGGTGTCATGGAATCTGTTTCCAAAACTGTGCAGTCCTTCTCATGGACCAGGGGAGCATTCATCTGTCTTTCTCCCCACTGCCCTGTTCAACTGCAGACCACTCTTTATCTTCCCACTCCATTCAGCTTCCTGGACTCCTGCCCCAAAACATTTCCCCCTGGACTCTTTACCAGTCGAAGTCAGAAGAAGGTCAGCTCACAGTGTAAATGTTTACACAATAAACTTTACTCTTTCTATACTTGAAGATAACTCTCCATGTTTTTAACCTCCCAGTGAACCGCATGACAGTGGTAGGAAGTCTGTTTTCTCAGTGAGCCCTAGGAAAAAAAAAAAGAGGAATATGTAGGTCAGGCTGTTTTAGAGAGCCTGTGAGCTGAGGCAAACCACTACCTCAGGCATCAGTGTCAGACAGACTATTTTCCAATTCTCCTGTCCTAGGAAACCTGATTATTTGTGTCTTGAGGTTTGTGGTGTTTGATGCCTTTGTTGAAATTCTTCCTCTTGGAGTCCTGTGATGTTGTTTTTAGTTGAAAAATAAATTAACTTAGCCTTTACCATCGTATAGGAAAACTGGAAGACATGAAGCTCAGATGTTCAAGGTTTCAAAAGGAGATTGAAGATACTAGTTAGTTGTTAAGGTTTTGTGAAGGGCAGAGAAAAGATGGAGAAGACTGAGTTAAAGGTTTTGAAATTGGCAAGGTATATATTTTCCCCATGCTTTTTTTTTTTCACTAAGCCCATACAGCTTGTCTCTTTTATAGTTTATTTTTTTAAAACAAAAATACTCATTAAATATTGTAAATATGTTTAGGTTCCATTTTCTGTAATTATTTTTTCCTGTCTCTGAAACCATTATGCTTTTGTTTTGTTTTTTGTTTTCTTTTTTACTTCTATTTTGTTTTTGCCTTGAACATCATAGCAAAGAATATATTCAAGGTGAGATTTGAAAACAGATAATGTGTAAGTGATGTTAGTGTTGACAGGAAGTCTCTTATATGTGAAGGGCAGCATAAGATAAAACTTATTTTTTCAGTTGCCAAACAAGTGGCTGATAGAGCTGCTATCTCATACTTAAGGGAAGTAGAAGTTGACACAATTTCAAAACAAAGATGAGGGATTTGGGGCTCAGGATGGAAGGCTACATTTAAGCACAATGAGATTCAGTATAGCTGTTTACTGACTTGGTAATGTGAGAAGGAAAGCTCAAGAAACAAAAAAGAGGAGTCAGGTTCTCTCCAGAACACTGATCTAAGTTAACAGCAATAAAGAAATTACTGCAAGAACAAAACAGCATCTGGAGGCACACTTGTGTACAGCTACCCTGGCAAGGAACTCTGGGTGGTTGGGAGAGGGCTCAGGGAAAACAGAGGACGTGCAAGAGGGACTCCCTGCTTGTGCACGGAGCTCATTCTCCAAAGGTACACTCCTGGAAATCTCAGTTCTGTGGACTGTGTAGATAAAATCAGGATTTGTGTTTCCAAGTCTTCCCTTCCAGCACTTCCCTTGAATGCTATTTTCATGCAGACGCAGGTGAAACAAAGACAAAGAAGCCCATGCATGTGTGCATTTGCTTATGGGTAAATCTATTTTGAGTTATCATGGGTAAGCAGGACGTCCAAGTTAGTTTTCTCTGATTTATAGTGGGATTTTTGCATAAAAAGAAACACTATTTCTGTAAAGTATTATACATTTCCTTTAGGGAAGGCTAAATCAGCCATATTAATTCAGCTAAATTCAGATTTTTGTGATAAATGATGGAAATATGTTTTAGATAGTCATAGAAAATCTATCCTACAGTCTCGTGATAGTCAAATGGACAAATAAAAAAACTTTAGTTGAAGCTGAATAAAAGTCAGTCCATCATAACAAGATAATATAGTGGCAAACAAGGAAAACAAATGTGCCTATTTTGAGATGTAACTATAAATCACCAGTAGAGCTAGAAATATTTCTCTGAGGAGGGTACTGAAAGAAGTTAGGTTGAATGGAAACATATGCCTAACAGGTTGAAGCAAATCAAAGGCTTTAAACAAAAAAGAAGGAACTGTAGTAAGCCACAGGGGATTTCTGTCCTAGTCTACTCTCAATGGTTTCTTAGACCCTATGGTTTTATACTAAATCATCTCTTCTTTATGTGGCAGTGTAAAACCTAAAGGAAAATATGAAACTTCTAATTGTGAGAACATAAGAGCTCAGCTGTATGAATATGAAAGCTCAGGACAGTAGGAAGCATTAGTGTAAAACTACAACATACTTGTTAACTACTAATTTAAAAAATGCCCATTTTAGTTGTTGTCCAATCTCACTTTGTCTCATTACATGTAAAAACTTGTCAAGTTGTCAGAAAGTTGACTCACTGGCATGTATGAAATTTTTCTGAAGGTAGCTTTCCTCCCCTATGCCCCCTTTTGTCCAGCTAAACACCTCAATTAGGTGAAAACAGAGCTTGTTTACTGGAGCTTTTGCTGTTTGCACTGATCTCCAAAATACAGTTTTTCCAGTTATATTTTTAGTATCCTCTGTGTTGCAACAGCAGTCAGCAGTGACATGCTCATGTTATGACTCTGCAGTGGTTTGTCATTTCTTCAGCTACAGACTTTGGCAAAAAACAATTTGTGGTGTTTACAAGAACTGCAGCAGCACCAGGGATTTGGGCACACAAACCAGAGGCATATAGAGTTTCTTAAGCCAGATGGAATTTAATTTCAAATAATGAACAAAAATGTTTGGTGTTTTTAATGGGTTGAATGAAGCAAAGTGTGTTTGGAAGCTTGCATCAGTTTAAAAGAATCACTTCTGCAGTCTTTTTGATACAGTTTAGCTATGGCATACCAAAATTCCAGCAGCCTATACTGGTTGTACATGGAAAGCAGAGCTGGAACACTAAAAGTAAAGATGGTGCCAAAATGCAATGCTGGTTCCTGGCAGCAAGTTCCTCATGCTCTGTTCTCTTTGGAATTTCTCTTTCCTCCCAGGTGGCTCTGTGCTGGAATCCTGTGGTGGATATTATGAGTTCACTAGCAGAGACACCAGGGGAATACAGTTGTATAATACAAGGGCAGTGGGTTATAGTAATCCTAGGCTGCAGAAGTGCCCTAATATTTCTTTATTCTAATTCTTTGTATTTGTAACTGAAGTTGCAAGGCCCTAGTTCCAGAGTGTGCCAAAACCTATCAGAAAAGGAAGCTTGACTGATCTTTCACCTGTGGGCATTTCTTTCCTAGAAGCACTCTAGAATAAGTTCTCTAGAAGAAATTTAAAATAAACTGACCTTGGAATTACAAGTAAGATCCATTTCTCCTGCTTCTATCCCTTAGTCTCTCTAAGAAAAAGGTATAAAGGAATGTTGACAGATATATTTGGATTTCCTGGAAGTATTCAGATGCAATATATCAAGATTTATCATTTGGCTGTCCCATTATTGGACACATGAAATGTATTGGTTGATGCAGTGGGAGAGTTCATACATGTGGAGTTGTGCAGAGGGGCTCCTTGAATCTACTATCAAAACAAGCCATGGGAGATGAGTGAGACTAATGCCTGTCCCAAGGTGTGACATGTCTATTTACTCCTGCTACCCATCTGTCCGCAGCCTTGACATAAAACAGCAAATGCCTGCCTTTTTATCAGTGTGACAGACTGTGGGCACAGTGGCAGAGAGGACACAGGGCTATTGAGACATGGAGCGCCAGGCTGTATGTCAAAGACTAGTTGCATAACTTTGTTATGCAGGATTTGGCCTTTAGGTTAAGTACACCCACTGTAAAATGTGGTGGGGAACTACAAGATTTAGAAACAGGAGGTTTCTATGTGAAGCCTGAAGCTGGAAGTTAAATGGAGCAAGTTCTAGAACTCAGGAGCTAGAACAACATAGAGGAACAATTTCTTAATGTTGTTTCTGGAGTAAATAATTATTCCAAATTGCGACTCAGTCTCTTGGTACTGAATTGTTGTCAAGTAGGGATGGCTGATAGTTGTATAAATCCTAAAACTGGTAAATATTTTAAATTGGCAATCTGCAAGTTAATTGTTTATGAGAGTTGAAAAGGAAAATTTTCAACTAAGCTTTTCAAACCTCAGAAGATTCCTTGATGCACTTTGAAACTGTAAATTACTCTTTAGGATAGGAAAAAAAAAAAGAAGGGTCTAGGATGCTGCCTCAGCTATAAATTCCCACTCTGGATGAAGCAGAGATGCCATTTTCAGTGGCCATTTTCTGGATGCTCCAGATAGCTTCTCTGAGCAGGGTGTGAATGTCTGCTCTGACTGTGTGAAATGATCTCCTTTGAGAAGATGCTTGTACATAGCTGAAAAGGTGTGGTCCATTCCCACAGAAACTTTTGGTTATGATGAAGAGAAATTAACCTCACAAAAAGTAATAAAGGAAAAAAAAAACCCAACCCCACTAAAAAGTTTCCTAAGTTTTTTTTCAAGCTGCCTCTGTGGAGCAGTTTTTATTTCAACATTTCCCAAAACTATTTTTTATTTCTACCACCCAAGAAGGAGCACAGGAAAAAGAAAATAGAAATGGCTCCGTGTGATGCATGTTAATGGTTAGAACATCCTAGATTAAGTGTGGAGTCTGAACAATCTGAGTACAGAGCAGCTAAACAAGAAGTTGGTTGTTATGTGATCTCTACTGATGTAATTAATATTAGCCATAAGAAAAAGTGTTGGGAACCTATAGGCATTAGGGAAGGTTTATGGCTGTGACATGAGAAGGTGGTTACTTCCCACACAAACTGAACATGATGCAATAATCTGCAAATTACCTCTATATATTTAGACTTTGACCTATTTAGTTTCCAGAGGTAGAGATTGTGTTTTCTTTTTGAATGCCAAATATTTTGAGAAGAATGAAGCTTAATTGCAGAAAAATGTTTTTGGAAAGAGATATTGTGGCTGAAATTCCACTCCCTTTGCCTAGCAGAGTTTCTTTGCATTGTTAGCACTCAGCTGGTGGGAGGTGAGGTGTCCTGTGAGAGCTAGCATCTGTTCCAACCATGATTGTACTTGTTTGGTGGCAGACTACTCTGATCACTAGGCTCTCATGTGTCCTTTGGTCCTCCATAGACCTGTTGCTGCTGTTGAGGGTCTCCATGTACAGTATCAAAGACGACCTCTGATGAAGGGGAGAGAACGATGTATTTGACTTTGTCTTATCAGAAGGCTCATTAATTACTTTATTATACTACATTATTCTATATTATAATACATCTAAACTAAATCTGTCAAACACTCTGCACATACTGCACTCCACTTATCTCATGACCCTCTTGTGACTGTCGGCCAACAGTCCTGACACACACACACATTTCTGGCCCTGATAGACCAAGGAAACAAAACAACATCACTTTGGGTAAACAATCTCCATATTGCATTCTACTTTGGCACAAACACAGGTACAGCAAATGGGATTTTGTGTTTTCTTTCTCTGATGCTCAGAGAATGTGAAACTTAGAAATACTCTTGGGAAGAATTGTGCTTTGCTTTTCTTTTTGTGAAGAGAAATGTGGCAACATCCATGCACTTACCATGTGCTGGGACCTTTGCTGCAACTGCATCCTGGTAATCACTGAATTGGCCTTCAGTGCCACTGAAGAGAAGGAAGTGAAAGTCCTCGAGGTTGATGTAGTTATGCATGATGTTTGAGAAGTGTCAGGGCTACCAAGGCTTATGGTTTCTTAGCTCAAATCAACTAGGCAAAAAAAAAAAAAATAAAAAAAAATTGATCTGCAGCCTTGGTGTTTGTGAAGGGAGATTGCAAAAGCATGACCTGAGTTCACCCTGTATTAAAAGAGAAATAAACCTGACAAATGTATTAATTTATTTTTCAGTAGCTCATGTTACAGCTAATCTCATGATGTTTTGTGGCTTGACTCACGGTTTTCAAAAGCTTGAGGTTGGCAATAGTGAGTAATACATAGATTGCCACATACAAAGCAAAAGCAGCTTTTATTTTTTTATTTTTTTTAATTCAAGGGTTATATAATAGGAGTTGTGCAGAGGGGCTCCTGCACAACTCCCATTCTGCCCAAATTCTGCTGTGGGCTCTCATCTGCTGTCATAGGAAGTGTGTTTGACAGTTCAAGTCTCTGTATTTAGAAAGACAGAGAATCGAAACAACTACATCCCATACTTAAGTTAATGTTCTGTAAGCCATGAAACTAGTGAGTTCTGTTTCCTTATTCATTTTTTTTGATTGCCTCTCAGGGCATTATCTTAGTTGTCTTTTAGGATTCTCTCCTCTTCAGATCTCACTAAAACTGACTAAGATTTGAAAACACTTGTTGCTAGTCTCTTGAGGTATATTTTAATTATAGTTTGAATCTGCTTTCCCTTCAGCATTTGCCGCTTTGGCATTGGGATTTTATAAGGAAAAATTGGTGAAAGTATTTATTTATATTTATAATTATAACATTAATATTTAAAATATTTATTATATTTATATTTATATTTATATTTATATTTATATTTATATTTATATTTATATTTATATTTATATTTATATTTATATTGAAGTATTCAAAAACTACTAATTTTCCAGATCACTTATTATGATTTCATTAAATCCATGGTTCCTTTTCTATAGCACAAAGATTCCAGTGTACAACAATGATGAAAGAGCACAGTAATTGCCTTATTTGAAGATATTGAAGATATTGTAGTTTACTTAGTGCTACACGCTTTGATTTTCTGCAGAAGGCTCTTTAACACTGTGCTGTGATCACTGCTAGAGAATTCTCAATCTGGACACACAGAGGTGTAGAACATTACTGCATTGCCAGTGGCTATTGCAGTGTGTTGCCACTCATAATTTCAAAATTATTTACTCTGTGGGAGCACAGAACTACTGTGAGTCCCCATCTGTGCAGCCAGAGAAGGGCTGGTTATCTTGTGCTGCATGGAGGGACCATAATTGCCTTTTCATCTATTTGCAGGGATTAATCCCAAGCCTGTATCCATAACTGGTGAGATAATTAACTCTTTAATTATTGATTCACACTTTATGCCATGCATGCATATAATAATTACCTTCATGTTTTCTTCTTTCCCATTGTCTTCTAGCTTCTTTTAGTAGGCCATCGTCTTTCCCAACACTTAAGGAGAAAGGACTGAGTACTGAGATGGCTGTCTCCCCTGTACCCTAGAGATGTAAAAATCATTTCCTCTTTTGCCTCCACCAGTAAGAAAGGAACACTGCCGTGGTGAAAAGGGCTGGTTACGCAAAACTTCAGTACAGTTGCAAAGCAAAGCAAAAATAAAATAAATCAGTGTACCATTGGGAAAGTCCTTCCTTCAACCAAAGTGTGACATTTAAAAAATATGCTCATGCTTATTAAATATTTAGAAATCTCTTCATTTTTGCTACTAAGAATAAAATTGCAGTGCATTTTTTAGTTTTAAAAAATCTAAGCTCCACTCCTAATTAGTGTTATCAAAAGACATAGATTATTCGGATGTCTTTTTATCTCTGCGTGATGAATGCCTTCAAATATCCTCCCTTCTCCCATTATCAGTAGGATGTCATTTGAAAACTGAGTAATACTAGTAACTATTCTCAGCAGAAGTGTTGAAGTCCTCCCTCTGGAGGTGACTGTGCAATAAAATATGTATGCCACATTTCAACCATAGAGGCATAGATGGCTAGAATTTTTTTTTTTTCCAACAGTAATTTGAAAAGCTAGGGATTTGCAGGCAAAGAGATCTTCAGGATATCTTCTTATGTTGAAAATGTGGTAGAGGTTGTTGGTCAGATATCAAGCTCTTGTGGACCTTCCCATACTGGAAATGTTTTTATTGTATCAATAAGAGATTTACCTGGAATAATTTTTGCCCATTTAACGAAGCACTAATTCTTGAATTTCTTGTTTTAGCATCTATAATTAAACTCCCTTCCTTTCTCCCCCTAATATAATGTTTGTTTTGTTTTTTGGTTTTTTTTTTCCTGACAGTGATAATGATATACTAAGTGTATTTCATTTTTACAGAGTAAACATAAGGTAAGAAATCCACTTGTGTTTGCAACAAGCTGTGTCTCCTGTTTATTAGGTTGCTCCTCCAGTATTGTTTATATAGTCTGCATGTCAGTGGTTCACTTGACTGCAGATTTGCTCACACTCATAGGAGACATATGCTGCACATCCTTTTTGTGTGATGTGCAGCATTTAACCATACGTCTCCATACTTCTAATGGAAGAAGTTAATAACAGTTTCATGTGTTACTTTGACTTTATAGTAGATTTTAGTGGATAATCTGCTACCATCTGTGGGAATTAAGACTTTGCTCTTAATTTTGCTAGCATTTTGAATAGAATATTTTATAAGGAGCTCATGCACTATAGTACACTAATTTTCCTGTAGGGCTTGGCTTGAGATTTCTATTTCATCATCCCTGTGGGCACTCATGTTAAGTAGCTGACTCCCTTCCAGTGAATTGGCATAAGATGTCTTGTCCATTTCAAAACAAGAAGTATCATTATCTTTCTATTTTTACTGTTGCAGGAGATTTAAAAAAATCCATCTTGACAATAATCATGGTAGTTTATAAAATTAGTGGAAAACCAATTTCCAACAGTCAATTTGCCTGTTGTCTGAGCAAAAATTTTAGTTATTGCTGAATGCATAGTCCTTGTACTTGTTAGATAATTTACAGTAAACACACGTCCTCTTAATTACATCATAGGAGCTTAAACAGATTTGTAGAGCCATTAAAAAATCAATATTTAGCTTTTAGGTGATGAATTAATTAACAGAGTGTGAATGCTGAAAGTTTGCTTTGTCCAGCCTGTACTATGTCTTCATAGCCTCATCATCAATAGGGAGAAGTGCAAAATTGCATGAAGTTGATAGGATGAACATGCTTATGAAATGAACTACTTTCTTTTTGGCCTAATGACCATTCCTGTAAACCTCTGTGATAGTCCAAAAAAGTGGCACAAAATGTTTTATGTATAAATATATGTATAATGTACATTACACCAAATCTATTGCCTCCTCCTTTCAGGCCCATGTTTTTAATTTTCTCTTTGTGCTAAACCCCAACTGAATTCAAGGTGAATTTTACATAAGGGCTGTTTTTGTAAGGGTAGCTTAATCAGCTTTGCAGAAAGAGAATGAAAGCTAAAAGCAAGCTTAAAAGTTATATCCAGTAAGAGTTCACATATGTAAGAACATATACGGTGTAGTGGTTTTGGTTCCAAACAAAACCAAACTATGTTAAACCACGACAACAGTGATAATTTTTTTTTTTTTGTTTGGTTTGGTTAGGTTTGGTTTGGTTTGTTTTTTCCCCAATCTTCCTGATCTTCCTGTTTTAGAGCTACATCTAGAAGCAGAATAGTCAAATATTAGGAGGCATAAATATCTTCTCATATTGTTTGTATGGTAATACTTAATTGATTTCAAACAACTCTCTAAAAACTTCTCACAGGATCATTTATAAGTTTGCAATTGATTAGTTGTTCTAAATTAGGATGAAATACACAATGCTGAGACTGGTAATGCTATTGGGTTTTTTCTAAAACCATTCAGCATTGGCTAAAGTGAACAGGTTACCAGATCATACTAAATAAAAGGAATAAGTTGTCATTTCACTGACTAGCTTGTAACTCTGAAAAGAGTAAGTCTGCATTTTTAGTCCTGCATATTAGATAAGATCATGGCCTGTCAATATGTCTATTCCCAACTTCTGTTTCTGTCCTCTATTTATGCAGTGAAGTTCATTTAGAAGTATTTTCTTGGTAAATATAACATTAATTTCATGTTCTTGATTTCGGGTGACACAGGAGAAGAAAGAAATGAAATTGTTCATTGTAAGGGGAGTGTTCAATTGATCCAGCTGATGTGGCTATAGTTTGAACAAAAAGCTGGAAATACAGAAGCATTAAGTGTTTCTAAATTATGTCACTGAATTAATTCAAAACATAGTTTTGATTCTGTTACCAGAAAATTCCACACTATCCAAACACATAAAATTGTTGAGAATGAAGCAACAACTGGCAGTAGTATACACTCCAGCATAGTCACTAAGTTGCTTTCATTTGATGTTTATTATCTGGGATTTATGAACTGTCTAGTTATTTAACTTCATTGAACTTGATGCACAACATATCTGCCCTTCAAAACAGTTTCGTTGTTGAATTATTAACTGCAGTCTTCATTCTGTGTATGTCATTAACATAAATGTAGTTAATTTAAAATATTTTAAAAGAGTGTTCTGTTCTAATACTTGTTTATATTTTGCTAATACATTTAGCATATTCATACCCATGTCAGAATTTCAGCTTGGAACTTAAAAGAATGCCAACCAATATGTCTTTCATAATTGGCTTCTTATCACTTAAAGCTCCTTGAGCAGAAGTGGGTCAGCTGTGATGTAAAAGTGGACTTTTCAATTAGCTTTCAGGTGTGAGAAAAATACATGCCAGCATTAAAGTGTCCAGGTTTTAATTTGTGTCTTGGAAGGCAGGCAGTGCTTTCCTCATTTGTTTGGAATCCATGTTTCTACTGTATGTCCAAATAAAATAGAAAATATCGGAACCTTTTTTAATGAGAAGTATTGGCAGAATGGGAGATTTGGCAGCTTAACCTGATTTTAAAGCTGTGATAGTGATTGGCACTACATTGCATTCGAAATCTCTTCTCTCTACTACTGGTTGTGCATGTATCCTTCCTGTTGTTTTTATCTTCTGTTTTGTGTTTAGAGACATTCTTCAGAAATAGGCAAGCCTATTCTGAAGATGAACTGCCACATCCTGAGAATGGCATTCTCTGAGATTCAGACTTAGCATTCAATAAATTCATTTGGGTTTATTTCATATTTTGGACCAAGGAAGTAGAAAGAACAGAAGCAAAACATACTTTGAGATATTTGGTTCTGCATATAAATGAGGAAAGCATTAAAGTACGCTTCTTTTTTTCTTTCTGGATGTTCCATGCAAATTTTCACACTTACAGATTCAGTAGGAATACTGATACACTTAAGAATTTGAAAAAACTAGGCTTTAGAATAAATATCCAATATGGGAGCAGTTTTTCATTTTCTAAAGAACTGTAACTTATTTTATCTCTTCTTGCTCCTCATTGATCAAAGACAGTAGAATAAACTATCTGCTTCCATCAATTTCTTCTCTCTTTGCCTTCTCTTTACACCAGTTTTGAATGTTTTGTCATATTTAAGGTCTTGTACAAATTTTCCATAGCCTTCATCTCCAGCATAATTTTTATAAAAGCATCATAAAAGTGAAGCAAACATGATTAAGGTTTCATATAGGTATCCATAATTAGTTGTCACCTGACAGCTAATATTTTGTAAAGAAAACCTAATATTTTAAATTAGTCATGTTTGCCTGCCATCTATATGTTAATCCTCTTTTCATTGCATTGGTGTTAGTCACAGAATATGCTGAGATGTAATGGATGCATCTGGGTCATCAAGTTTAACTCCTGGCCCTGTGCAGGACACTCTAGTCACAGCATGTGCCTGAGAGTGTTGTCCTAATGGTTCTCCAACTCAGGCAAGCTTGGTGCTGTGAGCACTTCCCTGGGTGAAAAACCTTTTCCTAATATCCAACCTAAAGCTCCCCTGACACTCTTTAGTGCCATTCCCTCATGTCCTGTCACTGCTCACTGCAGGGAACAGATTGGTGCCTTGACCTTCCCTCTCTCCCCATGAGGATGTTGCAGAGTGCAATGAGGTCTCCCCTCAGTCTCCTCCAGGCTGAACAGACCAAGTGACCTCAGCTGCTCCTCACATGGCTTCCCCTCAAGGCCCTTCACCACCCTTATGGCCTCCTTGGGACATTTTCTAGCAGTTCCACGTCTTTCTTATATTGCATCACCCAGAACCGTCCCCAGCACTCGAGGTGAGGCTGCCCCAGCCCAGAAAAAAGTGGGACAATCCCGTCCCTTGCCTGGCTGGCCATGCTGTGTCTGATGCCTCCTAGGACATGGGTGGCCCCCCTGGCTGCCAGGGCACTGCTGGCTCAGATTCACCTTGCCATCAACCAAGTCCCCAGGTCCCTTTCCACAGTGCTGCTCTCCAGCCTCTCGTTCCCCAGTCTATACACAAAAACTTGTTTCTTTCTATCTGCAAATTTTTTTC